TTTATGCAAAATATAATTGTGTTTTTATCATTTAATTTGAAAGTTTAGTATGGCTTTGACTTTTCTTTGTGAGATTTACCCAGAAAGCTTTGCTCACTGTGGTTCTTGATAAGATACCTGAACATTGAAAAGATATGTTGTAGCCAACCTCAAAAATGAACAAGTTATTAAATGTGAGCCTGGAGCACAAAAGCAGTCTTAAGTCGCTGGGGTATATTTGTAGCAATAGCCAAAAATACATTGTATGGGTCAAAATTATTGATTTTTCTTTTATGCCAAAAATCATTAGGATATTAATTAAAGATCATGTTCCATGAAGATATTTAGTAAATTTCCTACTGTAAATATATTAAAACTTAATTTTTGATTAGTAATATGCATTGCTAAGAACTTCATTTGGACAACTTTAAAGGCGATTTTCTCAATATTTAGATTTTTTTTGCACCCTCAGATTCCAGATTTTCAAATAGTTGTATCTCGGCCAAATATCGTCCTATCCTAACAAACCATATACATCAATGGAAAGCTTATTTTTTCAGAAATTGACCATTGGTTTTGTGGTCCAGGGTCACAAATGTGTATTACAGACCCAAAGCACTAATTTGTATGGAAAGTCCTACTTGTGTCTAAAATGTGTATTTTATTATATATTTTTTGAGATTTCATTGAAGAGATGCACTGCTGTATTTTGTGACTTGTTGATGTTTTTGGTGAGATAATACTGTAATGATTTTTGGCCTTGCTCACGTGTATGATTTAATTCTCGTTCCATTGATTTCATTTTACATTGAGCATTTATAAATGCGGAAGTTTGAGCATTTCACTTCATGTTTGTTTGTCAGTGTAACAAACATTATCATGTCATTTGTTTTGAACTGATTGTATTTGCATTGATAATCTACTTGTTTGTACAAGCAGAAGAGACTTTAAAAGTAGTTTTAACTTTTTATTTGATAGTATAGTATTTTCATATCTTAAAAGGAAAAGACTTGTATGAAGTCTAAAGTTCTGGGGGAACTTCTTCAAATGCCTTGATTAACAGTAGCTGTGTATGTGTGCTAGTCTGGGGATCTGCGCCTGCTTCTCTCTCACTGTGTCAGAGAACGTGGTGCCTCTTGGTTACAATGCTGTGAAAGATAATAAAAGGCAGATGAGTTATATATTTCATCAGACTTGTTCTCCTTTGTTCATTTCATAAGGAGATTGATTCTGGCAACATCTTCCTTTGTGTCGTATGTCTGTTTATATCTCTGTTTGATCCATTCTCCATGACACTCTTTGACTTCTGTTTTACGCCTAACTGATGCTCTTCCAAAACTAGTCACATTTCCTTTATCCATCTTTTCATCCTCTAATCATTTCTGAGTTGCATTCGTGTTTTAAACGCTCAAAATTCCTTCTTACTGAATCTCACGAAAACATATCCATGTCACATTTAACTCCAAAGTCAATAGAAAAAAAGAGGGGGAACAAAAAAGACAGAAATAGAAGGAAAAAAAACATAACATATTTTAGGACCATTATAGTTTTTGGGGATTTGTATCATTGTTTTTGGTGCCAATTTTGCACATTTTATTGTAATACAATAATTGTTTACATTTAAATTAGCATGAATTGGTTCGACAAAAAAAAAAAAAAATGATATATTTAATTGTCATGTAAATAGTTTTAGAATAAAAAAAATTATGATTGTAAAAAAAAAAGCTACATTTAGACGGCATTTCAGGCCTACAAGTGCTCTGAAAATCCTGTTGTGCTTCACATTAGTTGAGACTTTCATAGCTCTGACTCTTGAAGTGAGTGTAAGTTATTTTTCAAATAAAATAATGATTGTAAAAAATCTGCAAATTTTTTTTTTTTAAGAATATTCAAATTTCTTGTTTATTTCTTTTTATTTTGGGGTGAAATATGACCAAGATATGTTCTTTAATGAGATTCATCAATCTTCATCTACTTAAGCTTCTAGCTTTTCATCTTGTTTTCCTTAGCAAAAAAAATAAAAGATGGCCATGTGCAGGACTAATCAGGGGTCAGCATTGCTCTGAGGGGCATGTGCTTCAGCGTTTCATTAGTTACTGAGCTGTAATCTAACTACTTATGTGTACTTGTACATTGTGTATATGTACGTGTGAATGACAAAT